CCACCAGTACAAGCAGCACGCCTCCAGCGCCTGGCAAACCACTCACGCAGCTCCTGTGGGGAGAGTGGCTCCCGGCGAGACGAAGCACCCCCAGGCTCAGCACCCCTAGGCACAGCACCCCCAGGCACAACACCCCCAGGCTCGGCACCTCCAGGCTCAGCACCCCCAGGCTCAGCACCCCCAGGCTCAGCACCCCCAGGCTCAGCACCCCCAGACTCCACACCCCCAGGCTCAGCTCCCGCAGCAGCACCAGAGTCACCAGTGACCTCGACAGGCTCAACCGCGTCTACCTGGGACACACCTGAACCGGCAGGACCCTGAGGGGGGAGGGGGACTACCGGGGGGGGACCTGGTACCAAGAAGAGCGGGGGTGGGGGGAGGGACGGAGTGCGGCAGGGGAAGAGGCGGTAGTAGGGTACCGACTCGTCGAACGTGACGTCCTGGGAGGACAGAACACGTCGAGAGGAGGGGTGGTAGAACTGCCACCCAGGGGCGTCGGGGGGGAACCCTAGGAAGACGCAGGGAGCCGCGCGAGGGGACAGCTTGTCCGCAGACAAGTCGCGGACAAACGCCCGAGATCCCCAGACCCGGAACGCCGACGCATCGCCAACCTTCCCCGTCCACAGCAGGGCTGGGGAGGTCTCCGGCCTGGAGACCCTGGGGTGGAGGTTGATCTGATGCGCTGCGTACCTGACCGCAAACGGCCACAGAAAATGGGGGGCAGCCGCATGCATCATGGACGTACGGGCGACGTCCATGACCATGCCAATGTGGCGCCTAGCAATCCCATTTTCCTGCGGGGAGTCCGGAAGCGTGAAGGACTGGCGGATGCCTCGCGCCCGACAGTAGGCACGCAGAAGGCCAGAGGAGAACTCTCCGCCTCTGTCAGAGTGTAGACGTAACACAGGAAAGTCGGAGCCAAAGCTCTGCCTGAGCTGAAGACGAGCTGCGCGGATCCAGTCGATCAGCACCTCAGTAACCTCACCCTTGCTGCGCAAGGGGAAGACTGTGGTGTAACGCGAGTAGTCGTCAACAACGAGCAGGAAGTAGCGCTCCTGACCCTGTCCACGGACGCGGGCTGGGCCCCACACGTCCATGTGAAGCGTCTGCAGCGGGGCCTCTGTCGGAGGAAACTGGGAGGAGTGAGGGGCAGCACGCTGGCGCCCCTCGACACAGGGGACACAGGCAGGGCCAGGGCCCTGAGGAAGGGGAGGTAGAGACCGGGGGAGACCAGACACAAGAAGACGGGAGGCCATGCCTCTGAGCCGAAGCAGAGAGGGGTGGCCAAGGCGGTGGTGCCAGAGGAGGGTCTCGTGAGACAGACGACGACACGAACAGGGGGAAGGCTCAGGACCAGACCTGGACGCTGCGGCAAACACCTGACTAGACGAAGGGACCCTACCAGACTCAGTACCTGGAGGAGAAGCAGTGGTCAGTGTGTACAGGCTCGACCCTGGCCGACGTGTAAACGTAGCCAGGTGGCGTCCCGTGCTAGGGTCCGTGCAGTGGGTCACTCGCTGACGAGCAGGAGTGAACTGGTGAACACCCGCATCCTGTAGGTCAGCACCACTCACCAGGTTCGTCGAGAACGAGGGGAGGTAGAGACCAGACAGGGTGCCAGAGGGGGCCGCCGGACACGGAAGTACCGTGGAGAAGCGAGACAGGACAGGCCCCCCAGAGGGGTCAGCCAGGGACACCGCAACCGGCCGACTCAGCGGCGTGAGAGTAGTGCGGTCCCGAAGGAAGGAGCGAGACGCTCCAGAGTCAAGGGTGAAGGTGTGAGAGGCCGAAGCCGACACAGTACCTGAGAGGGCAGACTCACCAGTACCTGAGAGCACAGACGTACTGGCACCTAGAGCAGCAGCCTCACTAGTACCTGACGCAGCAGTACCAATGCCCGGGTCGGGCGGGAAACACCGGTAACAGTCATCCTCATCACTACCAGTCACAGCATACATAGCAGAAAGAATAGCATCAAAGTCAAGATCATAAATGGCTACACCAGCCCTAGACAGCTCCCCCCAGCGGGGGATCTCAGCGGCCTCCGGAAACTGCTGACGCCAGGCGTCGGTCAGGCGGCCAAAGCAGCGGCGGGCTGTGTGGGTGCCTCCACACCTCTCCCCCGCACGGTCGTAGGTGCGAAGAACGTAGGGGCAGGGACCAAACGCACCACCACGCTGACGCTGCAAGTACCACTCACGGAGCTGCTGAGGGGCGGGGACGGTGCGAGAGCGCTGCTGCTGCTGCTGCTGCTGCTGCTGCTGCTGCTGCTGCTGCTGCTGGCGCTGACCACCCCCAGAGCTGCTCCGCTGGGACGAGCCACTCCGACCCCCGCCGCCACCGCCACTCCCGCCTCCACCACCACCCCCGTCTTCACCGCCACCGCCCCCACCGGTACCCTCGCCCCCGCCTCCTCCGCTACCGCCTCCGCCGCCACCTCCGCCTCCACCGCCTCCACCAGTACCTCCACTCCCGCCACCACCTCCACCGCCACCCCCACTCCCCCCGCCACCCCCACCTCCTCCGCCACTGCCTCCTCTAGCTCCACCCGCTCCCTTGCCCCCCATGCCCTTGCTAGAGCGGCGTCTACCGCTGGGGGCAGACGCCGCACCGACCGACTCAAAACCAGCGAGGTCGGCCGCAGCGGCAGAGGCGACAGAGGGCAGCAGGGGGGAAGGAGAACACCCCTCAAAGATGGGGGTGCGAGGGTCACCCCGAGAGGCCCCTACAGCGACTATGCTCTTCTCAGCCGCTAGCAGGGACTCCTCAAGGAGGTTGACACTGAGGGTGGTGGGACAGACAGAGAGAAACTGGTCCCTAACGACACGAAGGGACTCAGGAAGACGGGTGACGAGAAAGTAGAGAGTGATGTACATGGGAGGAGGGTTTGCGGCGCGGAACTCAGCAGGAAGGGCAGCGCGGTAGCGAGCGTCACTAGCGCGGAGGTGGGTAACGAGGTCAGCGACAGTGGGAAAGGCAGCGAGGTCAGGGAAGAGAAAAGGTAGCATGAGGCGGCTTAGCGTAGCGGAGGAAGGGGAGGAGTAGCGTGCAACTACAGCGTCGTACAAGGCCTGAGCGGTCTTGCACTGACTGAAGTGGGCACGCTCGGAGGAAGGGAGGTGGCGACGCACAGCAAGACGTGCAGCAGCATCGCGGGTCGCCCACTTGGAGCGAACGGCGGAATCAGCATCAGCAGGAGGGGCAGGGACAGCGCCAGAGACAAAGTCAAAGAGAGAGACCTCATCGATCGCATCACACAGTAAGTACAGCTGCAGGTCTTCCATCCAGACTGCAAAGTCAATGGCTCTACCCTCCGCGTCAAAAGCTAGGACATTGGGGGTGGCCATGACAGCAGCTGACAGTCTCACCGGGCAGGAAGAGTCGGGTAGGTCAGCGGCGCAGGTACACAGCCCAGGAGCAGCAGTAGCCCGACAGGAGCAGGAGTGCAGCTCCTCTGGCGGCTCGGGCAGCTCGGGCGGCTCGGGCGGCTCGGGCGGCTCGGGCGGCTCGGGCGGCTCGGGCGGCTCGGGCGGCTCGGGTGGCTAGGGCGGCGCGGGCGGCCCGGGCGGCTCGGGCGGCTCAGGCGGCTCGGGCGGCGGCACGGGCGGCTGGGGCGGCTCGGTGGCGGCTCACGGGCGGCTGGGACGGCGCGCGGGGAGCTCACGGGCGGCTGGGCGGGCGGCCAGGGCGGCTCACGGGCGGCGGCGGCGGCGTCGGCGGCTCACGGGCGGCGGCGGCGGCAGCGGCGTCGGCGGCTCACGGGCGGCGTCGGCGGCGTCGGCGGCTCACGGGCGGTGTCTGCGGCGTCGGCGGCTTACGGGCGGCGTCGGCGGCGTCGGCGGCTCACGGGCGGCGTCGGCGGCGTCGGCTGCTTAAGGGCGGCTTCGGCGGCGTCGGCGGCTCACGGGCGGTGTCGGCGGCGTCGGCGGCTCACGGGCGACGTGGGCGGCGTCGGTGGCGTCGGCGGCTCACGGGCGGGCTGAAGGCCCACGGGTGGGCGGTTCGCGGGCAGCGCCGGCTCACGGGCGGGCGGCGTGACGGGCGGCGGCGTCACGGGCGGGCGGCGTGACGGGCGGCGGCGTCACGGGCGGCGGCGTCACGGGGGGGGGGCGGCGTGACGGGCGGCGGTGTCAGGGGCGGCGGCGTCACGGGCGGCGGCTCACGGGCGGCGGCGTCACGGGCGGCGCTCACGGGCGGCGGCGCACGGGCGGCGCTAACGGGTGGCGCGACGGGCGGCGGCTCACGGGCGGCGCTACTGGCGGCGGCTCACGGGCGGCGCTACGGGCGGCCGCACGGGCGGCGCTACGGGCGGCCGCACGGGCGGCGCTACTGGCGGCGCTAACGGGCGGCGCGAACGGGCGGCCGCACGGGCGGCGCGAACGGGCGGCGCTAACGGGCGGCGCTAACGGGCGGCTCGAAAGGGCGGGCGCTAGGGCGGGCGCTAGGGCGGGCGCTAGGGCGGGCGCTAGGGCGGGCGCTAGGGCAGAAAAAAAAGTTCTAGGTGGTGGGCCCTAAGCACAGTTCCCACAGGGGAACCTGCTCTGATTCCATGAGAAGAAGTGAACGAGAGAATGAGTGAACTATGAACGAAGTGAGTACAAATAGGAAACCCTAACTGGGTTGTACCCCCTATGGGATACCCCACTATAGCCTACATAAATAAGTAAACTATAATGTTCTGACACACACAGCCATTCTGGCTGACACGCGGATCCCAGCGGATCACAACTTTTAGAGTCAAATGAGAGCGGACACGGTAGTGGCAGCCACAATCGGTGAGGGCTGGAGGAGTGGCGATAGTCATACGAAACAGCGAGGTGTCCTGTACGGACGAAGTCTGCGACGCGTCTAGGCGGTTGGCGCGTGCAACTCTATCGTGGAGAGGCGTGGTGCTGACGGTGGTCGCAGCGTACTTCCCGTCGAGCCCAACGGCGAGAGCTCCTTTCTTCCGGGACGTGCTCCAGCCGTTCATTTCGGCGATACCTGCAGGAAACCAGCTCATGCTGGCTGGGGACCTGAACGTTGTGGAGGATCCTGCGCTGGACAAGACATCGCGAGCGGGCTCAAGGGGGGAGAACGACAGACTGATGACGATTTGCAGCAGCTTTGATGTGAGGGACGCTTTCAGAGCCCTTCATCCATGCCTGCGGGAGTACACATTCTATGCAGCAGCAGTGTAGGAGAGCACGAGGATCGACCGGATTCTACTCTCGCAGTCGCTGCTTCACCAGGTTCATGAGGTGCGGCACGCGGAGCTGGTCAAAAGGTTCACGGACCACTGGCTCGCGGTTCACCTGAAGCTCAGTGCGGGGGGAGACGGGGAGTCAGGCCCGGGCCTCTGGAGACTGCCGGTGTCGCAAGCGCCACGTCCTGGGGTGCGGAAGCGGGTGGAGCAGATTGTGCGTAAGAACAAAGAGAGAGGAGGGGACTTGGAGTCCCTAACGACGTCTTTAAGGGTGGGACTCAAGGCCTACACCGTTGAGGAGCGGAAGCGGGTGGCGGCCACGACGGCGCATCTGGTACGGGAAGTCGGGGACCTGAGACAGAGGGTGATGAACAAACCTTGGTGCTCACGAGCGAAGGCGCGGCTTGCGAAGGGAGAAGCCAAGCTCAAGGCGTATGAGGACGGGAGACGCCAGAAACTGCAGGAGCAGGCGGGGGTCAAGGTTGAAATGAACGGGGAAGCCCCCACAGGTTTTATGACGGCTAAGATCAAGGCGCGAAAAGCAAGGACGCGTCTGGTGGAGGTGAACTACAATGGGATTCGGCATGAGGGTGCAAAGGAAGCGCTCATGGCTGCGTCAAGCTTCTACACGCAGTTGTTCGCGGCCAGGAAGGGACCGGCTAACTCACAACTGGACTGGGAGCTCGACACACGCCCCCCCCCCCCGAAGATGCAGAGGAGCTGTGCGCGCCATGGGAGGAAGCGGAGGTCAAGCGTGCGCTGGAGGAGATGGCGCGGGGCAAGACGCCAGGGCGCGACGGCCTCCCGAAGGAGCTCTGGGAGCTGTAGTGGGACCTGCTGGGCGGGCAGGTGATGCAATTTCTGAAGGAGTTTGAGCGGACGGGTGTGTTGCCCAAGGAGTTCTCGACGGCGGTGACGGTACTTCTGCATAAGAAAGGGGCTAAGGATGATTTGCAGAATTACCGCCCGATCACACTACTAATTACGGCGTACAAGGTCATGGCGAAAGTACTGGCAAACAGGATAAAACGGAAACTGGAGAAAGTGGTGTCAGAAGGGCAGTTCGGGTTCCTACCTGGCAGAAGTCTGGCGGGCGCGGTGGCGATCGCGGCTGATGTGATAGATGCGGCGAACTCCGGCCAAGAGGACTGGCTCATGCTTCTCGTCGATTTCAGGAAGGCTTTTGATTCGGTGGGACGGGACTATTGAGAAAATGAACGAGAATGATTGACTAAGGGAAAGTTGAGTACAAGTACAAACCCTAGAAAGTCGTACCCCATATGTGCTACCCCACTATAGCCTACAACAGTGTCAGTAGAGCTACACTGTGAGATCCTCGATCGATCCTAGGGGGGGTTACAGGCGCGTTTGCCTAGGGGGTTATGGGCGCACTGACCCGCTACTGAAACAAGCCCTTTTATCCCAATGGTCTAGTGGTTGGGATTCTGACATGGTATCAGAGCGGTCTCGGGTTCGAATCCCGGTGTATGCACATGTTGGCCGTTGCCACTGTGCTCAGTCCTGGGCCTCCCAGTGTGGGGGGGTGTCAGTAGAGCTACACTGTGAGATCCCCGATCGATCCTAGGGGGGGTTACAGGCGCGTTTGCCTGGGGGGTTATGGGCGCACTGACCCGCTACTGAAACAAGCCCTTTTATCCCAATGGTCTAGTGGTTGGGATTCTGACAAACAGCTATGTCATATAAATCTGACACACCCCCATAGGCAAAGTGGGGGAGAACAAGGGGTCACAAGACCAGTCAAGCAAAGCAAAGCAAGCTCAGGGTGGATCACAAAGTCACCACACATTCTGAGCACAAGTTCAAGGCCACAAGGCCAGTTCACATGCAGGATTACACATATATATATAAGGCTAGACAAGCAAGAGCAGGTGTATATATATATGTAGCAGTACAAACAAGGTCAAGTGGTGAGCAAGTGAGGCAAGGCAGGCACAAGACCCAGCTGAGTACAGAAGCGCTGATGATCACAAGGCGCAACCGCCTTGGTGAAGATATCAGCACTGTTGGCCTCAGAGGCCACGTACGCAAGGCGCAGCTGACCACGCTGCTGTAGCTCACGAGCAAGGAAGTAGCGAAGAGCAATGTGCTTCGTTCTGTGCTCCAGTCTGTGCTCCCGACACAAGGCCAGCATGGCCTTGTTGTCTACGTACAGCACTAGAGGAGAACGAGGCGGCTCTCCGAGGTCAGTCAGCAGGTAGGTGAGCCAGCGAAGCTCCTGTGCAGCCATGGCTCCTGCATAGATCTCAGCCTCACAACTGGAGCCGAGAACAGAAGACGGGCGGGTAGCCCGCCACAAAACAGAGCCAGAACCAAGGCTGAAGGTGTAACCCTATGACGACCGCTGCGTAGCCTGGTCGTCAGCCCAAGAAGCATCTCCGTGCCCAGTGAGGACCACTGGACTCTGCCCTCCAAGCACAAGCCCCATGCCCGACGTACTGCACAAGTAGCGCAACACCCTCTTCGCTGCAGCCATGTGCTCTGGTCTGTGTCTCCCTGGAGCAACATAGCGTGCCAAGATGCTAAGAGGGTATGCAAGGTAAGGTCGTGTGCAGGTCATCAGGTACATGAGGCAGCCAACAAGCTCTGGGTACGGGCCACTCGGCTCTACGGACTCATCCGAAGGCAGAGCTGAGAGCGAATGGCGAGTAGAAAGAGGAGTGGCCTGAGGCGAGGAGTACGTGAAGCCGAAGCGCTGAAGGACCTGCTGCACCATGTGTGACTGAGTTAGGGTAATGGTGTGCTATGCTCTGTCCCGGGTGATCTGCAGGCCAAGGTAGCTGCGTAGTTCACCCAGGTCTGTGCACGTGTGTCTCTTCTGCAGCTCGGACTTCACGTGGGCGAGTCCAGCAGTGTCACCTGTGGCAAAGACCAAGTCGTCGACATACACGAGGATGTAGAACGGCGGCAAAGAAGTGTCGTTGCGCAGAAACAGCGACGGGTCGGCAGTAGAGGGAGCAAACCCAAGAGCCGCAAGTGTAGTCCTCAGTGTGTCGTGTCACTCACGAGGTGCCTGGCGGAGACCGTAGACTGGCCGCCGGAGGCTCCACTGGGTGCCAGGAGGAAAAGACCCAGTGAAGCCCGGTGGGCGACGCAGCCAGATCTCCTCGTGCAGGCTGCCGTGCAAGAAAGCAGTGCTAAAGTCAAGAGAGTGCAGCTCGTAGTCACGGTGAGCAGCTATGTGCAGCAGTACCCGAAGAGTGGCCATCTTCCGGGTGGGAGAGAAGGTCTGAAAGTAGTCAAATCCCTGCCGCTGACTGAAGCCACGAGCCACGTAACGCGCCTTGAAGACAGGCGGAGAACCCGGCGGCCGCTTCACCCTGAAAATCCACATGCCACTGACGATGTTCGCCCCAAGCGGGGGAACCTCGTCAACGTAGGTGCCTGTGGACTTCCAGGAAGCCATCTCTGCATCCATAGCTGCCTGCCACTGAGAGGAGTAGGGACCCTCTATCGCCTCCGCGTAAGGGCGCGGAGTCGGGATGTCACGTGCATCCGGGTCTCCCTCAAGGGTAAGCAGTACGGACACGAGATGAGGTGAAGGAGCAGCCAAGCACTGGAACTCCTCCTACCTGTCCTCAAGGACGTCCGTGCCAAGGGCACACTCACCCCCGACAAACGGAGGACAAACAGACTCAGACTCAGCGACAAGACTAGCAGCGTAGTCTAGACGACAGCGAGCAGCAAAGTCGACGAGCTCAGCAACTAGGGCAGACGCAGCAGTGGACTCAAAGGAAGGGTCAATAACGGCAGTAGCAAGGAGACGCGTGACAGTAGGACTGGTAGCACGAAGAGAGTCCGACTCCAGGTCGGCAAGAGCAGGAAGAGACGACTCTGGAGGAGAAGGCAAAGGGGCACGCAGAGGAGCAGTGGACGGACGCAGAGACATCCGGTGCGTGCCAGGGACAGGAGGAGGACGCTGACGCGAACCACGACCACTAGTGCGAGCAGGACGGACAGGCGACGCAGGGCGAGACGCAGGCTCATGACACTCAGTAAGACCCCCAGTAGGACCAGTGTAAGGAGAAGGAGCAGGCAGTGGGGAGGTGAGCTGTAACTTTAAGTGTGACGGGACAGGCTGTGGACACTCTAAGGGAGGAGGAGGACCAGTAGAAGGCGAAAGACCAAGAACGTGCTGAAGGAGCGGAACGAAGTACGGCCGAGGCTGCGCGGCGACTCCAGACACAACAGGGACAGCACCAGTACCCCTAGTGGTAGCACCAGTGCCAGCAGCACCTTCAGCTCCAGCACCCCCAGTAGCTCTAGTAGCTCCAGGGCCTCCAGCAGCACCAGTAGCACCCCCAGCAGGACCGCCTCCAGGACCGACAGCAGTAGCCTCAGCGCCAACACCCTAAGCAGCTCCAGCTCTAGTCGTACCCGCACGCCCAACAGCTCCTGTAATCCCAGTACGAGCACCTTCGGGACCCGCTACACCAGCACCCTCAGCAGCCGAAGAACCTCCAGCTCCAGCAGCACGCCTCCAGCGCCGGGCAAACCACTCGCGCAACTCCTATGGAGAGAGTGGCTCCCGCCGAGACGAAGCACCCGGAGAACCTCCAGGCACAGTACCGCCAGACGCGGCACGAGCAGGCCCAGCTCCCTCAGGCACCGCACCCCTAGGCTCAGCACCTCCAGACGTAGCACCCCCAGGCTCAGCACCACCAGTCGTAGCACCCCCAGGCTCAGCACCGCCAGGCGTAGCACCCCCAGGCTCAGCACCCCCAGGCTCAGCACCCCCAGTAGTAGCACCCTCACGCTCAGCACCCCCAGGCATAGCACCCAGGAGGTAAAGACCAGACAGGGTGCCAGAGGGGGCCGCCGGACACGGGAGGACAGTGGAGAAGTGAGCAAGGACAGGACCCCCAGAGGGGTTTGCCAGAGAGACTGCAACTGGCCGACCAAGCGGCGTGAGTGTGGTGCGGTCTCGAAAGAAGGAGCGAGAAGCCCCCGAGTCAAGGGTGAAGGTGTGGGAGGCCGAAGCCGACGCGGTACCTGAGAGAGCAGACTCACCAGCACCTTAGGGCGCGGACGCACTAGCACCTAGAGCAGCAGCCTCACCAGTACCTAGAGCAGCAGTCTCAATGCTCGGGTTGGGCGAAAAACACCGGTAACAGTCACCCTCATCACTAATAGTCACAGCATACATGGCAGCAAGAATAGCATCAAAGTCAAGGTCAAAGATAGCTACTCCCGCCCTAGACAGCTCGCCCCAGCGAGGGATCTCAGTGGCCTCAGGGAACTGGTGACGCCAAGCGTCCGTCAGGTGGCCAAAGCAGCGCTGGGTGGAGTGCGCACCCCCGCACTGCTCACGTGCGCGGTCGCTGGTGCGTAGGACGTAGGTGCACGGACCAGTACCCCCACCCCGCTGGCGTGCAGCGTACCACTCACGGAGCTGCTGAGGGGGGGGGGATGTCACGAGTGCACTGCTGCTGCTGGCGCTGACCACCACCGGAGCCGGCCCTCTGCGCAGCGCCACCCCTACCAGCTCTGCCTCCTCTGCCGCCGCCTCCTCCTCCGCCGCCACCTCCGCCACCTATGCCACCCCCGCCTCCGCCTCCGCCTCCGCTGCCGCCACCGACACCTCCACCCCCGCCACCACTCCCACCACCACCCCCACCCCCTCCACTGCCGCCACCGCCACCTCCGCCACCCCCGCCAGCCCCTCCAGCGCCCTTGCCCCCCTTGCCCTTGCTGGTGCGGCATCTCCCGCTCGGGGCAGACGCAGCGCCGACCGACTCGAAACCAACGAGGTCGGCCGCATCAGCAGAGGCAACAGAGGGCAAAAGGGGGGAGGGGGAACACCCCTCAAAGACGGGGGTGCGAGGGTCACCACGAGAGGCTCCTACAGCGAGTATGCTCTTCTCTGCCGCTAGGAGGGCCTTCTCGAGGAGGTCAACGGTCAGAGTGGTGGGGCAAACTGAGAGGAAGTGGTCCCTGACTACGCGGAGAGAGTCAAGGAGCCGGGTGACTATGTAGTAGAGGGTGATGTACATGGGGGGGGGGGGGGTTCTTGGCGCAGAACTCAGCAGGAAGCTCAGTGCGGTAGCGAGTGTCACTAGTGCGGAGGTGCGTAATGAGGTCAGTGACTGTGGGAAAGGCAGCAATGTCAGGGAAGAGGTATGGTAGTATGAGGTGGCTCAGTGCAGCAGTGGCAGGGCAGGAGTAGCGTGCAACTACAGCGTCGTACAAGGCCTGAGCACTCTTGTACTGACTAAAGTGCGCACGCTCAGAGGTAGGCAGGTGGCGACGCACAGCAAGACGTGCAGTAGCATCGCGTGTGGCCCACTGTGAGCGAACAGTGGCGTCAGCATCAGCAGCAGGGGCAGGAGAGGCACCAGAAGTGAGGTCAAAGAGGGAGAGACCGTCTGCCCTATCGCACTGTAGGAAAAGCTGCAGGTCATCTACCCAGACGTCAAAGTCAATGGCCCGACCCTCAGCGTCAAAAGCGAGGACACTAGGGGTAGCCATGACAGCAGTAGACTAGCAGCGCGAACAGTAGGGTAAGGGCAGTGCAATGATAGAGGCGCTGCTCTTACCGGACAGGGCGGCTCGGCGGCTCGGCAGGAAATGCAGCTCGGCGACTCGGCGGCTCTGGCGGCTCGGGCGACTCGGCAGCAACTGCGGCTCGGCGGCTCTGGTGGCTCGGGCGGCTCGGCGGTACGGCGGCTCGGTAGCTCGGCGACCCGGCGGCTCGGGCGGCTCAGGTGGCGCGGCGGCTCGGTGGTGACGGTGGGGCCACGTGGGGACGGCGGCGGGGCCAGTAGAGGCGGCGCCGGGGCCGGGAAGGGTACTGCCGGGGCCGCAGGGTAGGCGACGGGGCCAGCAGAGGCGGCGCCTGGGCCGGGAAGGGCGGCGCCAGGGCCGGGAAGGGCGGCGCCAGGGCTGCAGGGGTAGGCGATGGGGCCGCTAGGGCGGCTAGGAGGGGGGTCGCGAGGGCGGCTTGAAGAGGCCGCGAGGGCGGCACGAAAGGGCCGCGAGGGTGGAGCGAACGGGCCGCGAGGGCGGCGCGAACGGGCCGCGAGGGCGGCGCGACGCAACGGAGGCGCGAGGGCAGCGGATCGTGGCCGCGAGGGCAGCGCGACGCGGCCGCTAGGGCGGCGCGACGTGACGGGGCCGCGAGGGCGACGCGACGGGGCCGCTAAGGCGGCTCGACAGGGCCGAAAGAGGGGAGCGCGACTCGGGCAGAGTAGAGCGCGCTCTGGGCAGGAAAAAAAAAAGATGGTGGGCCTTAGGAACAGTTCCCACAGGGGAACCTGCTCGATGAGCGAATGAGCGAGAATGATTGACTAAGGGAAAGTTGGGTACAAGTACAAACCCTAGAAAGTCGTACCCCATATGTGCTACCCCACTATGGCCTACAACAGCTATGTGATATAAATCTGACAACTATCTGTTTGACGTGCTGCGGAAAATGGGCTTCCCAGAGGCTTATGTGAGATGGGTGGAAGGGTTGCACCACGGGGCGGCCACCGGCATCTGCAACGATGGCTGGCTTGGAGAGGAGGTGCCGGTGCAGACTGGGGTGAGGCAAGGCTGCCCCCTCGCGCCATACCTATTCCTCTAAGCAGTGGAACCTTTCTGCCAAGAAGCACGAAGGAGATGGTTAGGGATTGATGTCAAAGGCGCGGGGAAACTCACGTATTTGGGATACGCGGATGATACCACCCTCCTTCTGAAAGATCGGTCGCAGCTGGACGAGGCGGAGAGGCTGCTGAAGGATTTCGAGCATCAGTCTGGGCTGGCGGTGAACTGGGACAAATCAGTGGTACTACCGCTTGGGAAGCAGCGTGATCTGCCGCCGCCGACGGTTAGGTTGTCCAAGTGGGCGTCGCGGGATGACCCTGAGCGCCTGCTGGGGGTTTGGATCACGCCAGGTGGGGATGCAAGGCCATCGTGGAAGAAGGCACTGAGAAGAATAGAGGCGGAGCTGAAAAAATGGGAGGCGAAATACCTCACCACGACGGTGCGAGTGACAGTGGTCAAATCATACGTCACGCCCATAGCGATGTTTCAGGCACCAGTATACCCGCCCCCGGACGCGGCCTGGGAGGAGCTGAGGAGGTTATGCCATGCGTTTGTCTTCGGAGGGAGAGCGAGCGGGGAGCCGGGTTTCATCCTCTGGAGCGGGGATCTGATGCAGTTGAAGAGGGTGGATGGCGGCTTGGGGGTGATAAACCTCAAAGATCGCCTAGACGCGGAGGCGCTCCATGCACTGGCGCTCCTGCTCACGGAAGAAGTGCCGCAGAGGCGAGTGCTGGCGGAAAATGCGGCGAATCTCCCGCTGGGGTATGCGTCATTCATCGCGCATGAGTCCCTGTTGAAGGCGTGGGGCTCGGGGAGCGAGCGCTGGAAGGCGATTGCTGCTGCGGTGATGGCCTCGCCGTTCGCCAGGAATCTGCCAACCGATAACAGATGGGACACGGAGAAGGAGAGAGTACTTTTTAACACGCACATCATGTCAAAATGTATTTGCTGTCTAGCCTGCAGTGGAGTACTCTGTAATGAGTACAACCCAATTTAGGGTGTTCTACTTATATCCCAACTCTTCCTAGTGAAACCTCATTCCTCTCCTTCCAAAACCTCTCGATACTTTTCCTAAACTCGAACTCAACTACCAAGGCTGCTAAACTATGGCTCCTAAGCCAAACTCACGCTAGTATTTTGTTATGTTATCAGAGCTTAACGTTCCTGGCCTGTGGGCCCACTCGATTCCGCTGCCCTACTGTGTGTCGCGCGCCCCGTGGCGCGCGACATCCCATTTTTCTTCCCGCCACGCGCTCCGAGCGCGTGGCGGTTTTCTGCCCGCCGTGCGCCCCGAGGCGCGCAGCGGGTTCCTACCTCGTCGCGGCGTCTTAGGGGCCCGCGCACTGGCCCCGACCGTCGCCTCGTCGAGGCGTTTTGGGGGCCCGCATGCAGGTCTCTCCCGTCTCCTCGTCGCGGCACTTTCGGGGCCCGCGAGCCTGCCCCTCCCGTTGCCTCGTCGCGGCGCCTTAGGGGCCTGCGCGCGGTCCCTTCTCATTGCCAGTCGAGGCACTTTTGGGGACCTGCGCGGCTCCCTAGCACATCGCCCGTCAGGGCACAATGGCGGCCGCGCCCTTCCCCTCCCCTCCCTCCTACTTTCCGCTGCAGCAGCCGCCCCTGGAGCCGCCGCCCCTGAAGCAGCCGCCCCTGGAGCCGCCGCCCCAGCAGCAGCAGCCCCTGGAGCAGCCGCCCCAGCAGCAGCAACCCCTGGAGCCGCCGCCACTGCAGCGGCCGCCCCAGCAGCAGCAGCCCCTGAAGCAGCCGCCCCAGCAGCAGCAGCCCCTGGAGCAGCCGCCCCAGCAGCAGCAGCCCCTGGAGCAGCCGCCCCAGCAGCAGCAGCCCATGGAGCAGCCGCCCCAGCAGCAGTAGCCCCTGGAGCCGCCGCTACTGCAGCAGCAGCCCCTGGAGCAGCCGCCCCAGCAGCTGCAGCCCCTGGAGCAGCCGCCCCAGCAGCAGCAGCCCCTGGAGCAGCCGCCCCAGCAGCAGCAGCCCCTGGAGCAGCCGCCCCAGCAGCAGCAGCCCCTGGAGCAGCCGCCCCAGCAGCAGCAACCCCTGGAGCAGCCGCCCCAGCAGCAGCAGCCCCTGGAGCAGCCGCCCTAGCAGCAGCCCCTGGAGCAGCCGCCCCAGCAGCAGCAGCCCCTGGAGCAGCCGCCCCAGCAGCAGCAGCCCCTGGAGCAACCGCCGCTGCAGCAGCCGCTCCTGGCCCCTGCAGCAGCCGCTCCTGGACCCGGTGCAGCCGTTGGGGGGTGGGTGTGGGGGTGATGGTTGGGGGGGTGTCGGTTGTGCGTGCCGTTCCCTCCTCCTCCTCCTCCTTCGTCTCCCACTGCTGCAGCTCTCGTTGAGGGGGGTGGATGTGTGGGAGTCTGGGGTTTAGGGTTTAAGGGGGTGCTGTGGGTGTAGGGCTAGGGTTTGAGCAGGGGGTGTGTGAGAAGGGCGTTAGGCAGCTAGGGAGGTTGAGTGGAGGCAGCAGTCTTGTCGTCAGCAGCAGCAGCAGTCCGGAGGCTACAATCTCTAGTAGTCACCAGTCGCCCGTGGGTCCGTTGCTCGTCTGCCGCTACTTTTAGCCGCGGGGCCAGTTACCCCAGTAGTCCGGAGCGCTGTTCCGGTAGCCACTGAGCCAGCAGCTCGTCTGTGTGTCTGCAGCGTCAGCAGTCGCCTCCCATCTTCTCTCCCCCACAGTCTCTCCTCCTCCTCACTTGCCCTCTGTGATTAGCTCTAGCCTTACTTACCTATTGTGAACTCTTGCTCTACGCTTGCTCATTGTGCTGATTACACCCCACTTTGGCTATGGGGGTGTGTCAGAATGTATTTGCTGTCTAGCATGCAGTGGGGTACTCTATAATGAGTACAATCCAATTTAGGGTGTTGTACTTGTATCCCAACTCTTCCTAGTGAAACCTCATTCCTCTCCTTCCAAAACCTCTCGATACTTTTCCTAAACTCGAACTCAACTACCAAGGCTGCTAAACTATGGCTCCTAAGCCAAACTCACGCTAGTATTTTGTTATGTTATCAGAACTTAACGTTCCTGGCCTGTGGGCCCACTCGATTCCGCTGCCCTACTGTGTGTCGCGCGCTCCGTGGCGCGCGACATCCCATTTTTCTTCCCGCCACGCGCTCCGAGCGCGTGGCGGTTTTCTGCCCGCCGTGCGCCTCGAGGCGCGCGGCGGGTTCCTACCTCGTCGCGGCGTCTTAGGGGCCCGCGCACTGGCCCCGACCGTCGCCTCGTCGAGGCGTTTTGGGGGCCCGCACGCAGGTCCCTCCCGTCGCCTCGTCCCGGCACTTTCGGGGCCCGCGAGCCGGCCCCTCCCGTTGCCTCGTCGCGGCGCCTTAGGGGCCTGCGCGCGGTCCCCTCTCGTTGCCAGTCGAGGCACTTTTGGGGACCTGCGCGGCTCCCTAACACATCGCCCGTCAGGGCACAATGGCGGCCGCGCCCTTCCCCTCCCCTCCCTCCTACTTTCCGCTGCAGCAGCCGCCCCTGGAGCCGCCGCCCCTGGAGCCGCCGCCCCAGCAGCAGCAGCCCCTGGAGCAGCCGCCCCAGCAGCAGCAACCCCTGGAGCCGCCGCCACTGCAGCGGCCGCCCCAGCAGCAGCAGCCCCTGAAGCAGCCGCCCCAGCAGCAGCAGCCCCTGGAGCAGCCGCCCCAGCAGCAGCAGCCCCTGGAGCAGCCGCCCAAGCAGCAGCAGCCCGTGGAGCAGCCGCCCCAGCAGCAGCAGCCCCTGGAGCCGCCGCTACTGCAGCAGCCGCCCCAGCAGCAGCAGCCCCTGGAGCAGCCGCCCCAGCAGCTGCAGCCTCTGGAGCAGCCGCCCCAGCAGCAGCAGCCCCTGGAGCAGCCGCCCCAGTAGCAGCAGCCCCTGGAGCAGCCGCCCCAGCAGCAGCAGCCCCTGGAGCAGCCGCCCCAGCAGCAGCCCCTGGAGCAGCCGCCCCAGCAGCAGCAGCCCCTGGAGCAGCCGCCCCAGCAGCAGCAGCCCCTGGAGCAGCCGCCCCAGCAGCAGCAGCCCCTGGAGCAACCGCCGCTGCAGCACCCGCTCCTGGCCCCTGCAGCAGCCGCTCCTGGACCCGGTGCAGCCGTTGGGGGGTGGGTGTGGGGGTGATGGTTGTGGGGGTGTCGGGTGTGCGTGCCGTTCCCTCCTCCTCCTCCTCCTTCGTCTCCCACTGCTGCAGCTCTCGCTGAGGGGGGTGGATGTGTGGGAGTCTGGGGTTTAGGGTTTAAGGGGGTGCTGTGGGTGTAGGGCTAGGGTTTGAGCAGGGGGTGTGTGAGAAGGGCGTTAGGCAGCTGGGGAGGTTGAGTGGAGGCAGCAGTCTTGTCGTCAGCAGCAGCAGCAGTCCGGAGGCTACAATCTCCGGTAGTCGCCAGTCGCCCGTGGGTCCGTTGCTCATCTGCCGCTAATTTTAGCCGCGGGGCCAGTTACCCCAGTAGTCCGGAGCGCTGCTCCGGTAGCCATTGAGCCAGTAGCTCGTCTGTGTGTCTGCAGCGTCAGCAGTCGCCTCCCATCTTCTCTCCCCCACAGTCTCTCCTCCTCCTCACTTGCCCTCTGTGATTAGCTCTAGCCTTACTTACCTATTGTGAACTCTTGCTCTATGCTTGCTGATTGTGCTGATTACACCCCACTTTGGCTATGGGGGTGTGTCAGAATGTATTTGCTGTCTAGCCTGCAGTGGGGTACTCTGTAATGAGTACAACCCAATTTAGGGTGTTGTACTTGTATCCCAACTCTTCCTAGTGAAACCTCATTCCTCTCCTTCCAAAACCTCTCGATAATTTTCCTAAACTCGAACTCAACTACCAAGGCTCCTAAACTATGGCTCCTAAGCCAAACTCACGCTAGTATTTTGTTACATCAAGCGGGACGGTGGCTGCCCCTTTGGAAGGCGAAAGGGCTCCGAATGAGAAAATGAGAACTAGAATGGATGACTAAGGAATGGAAGTGATACAAATATGCAACCCTAGAAATGTGTACCCCATATAGGCTACCCCACTATAGCCTACACAATATTATAATTTGACACACCCCCATAGGCAAAGTGGGGGAGAACAAGGGGTCACAAGACCAGTCAAGCAAAGCAAACAAAGCTCAGGGTGGATCACAACGTCACCACACAGTCCGAGCACAAGGTAAAGGCCACAAGGCCAGTTCACATGCAGGAGTACACATGTATATATAAGGCTAAACAAGCAAGAGCAGGTATATATATATGTAAGAGTACAAGCAAGGTCAAGGGGTGAGCAAGTGAGGCAAGACAGGCACAAGACCCAGCTGAGTGCAGAAGCGCTGATGATCACAAGGCGGAAGTGCCTTGGTGAAAACATCAGCAGTGTTGGCCTCAGAGGCCACGTACGCAAGTCGCAACTGACCACGCTGCTGCAACTCACGAGCAAGAAAGTAGCGGAGAGCAATGTGCTTCGTTCTGTGCTCCAGGCGCTGCTCCCGACACAAGGCTAGCATTGCCTTGTTGTCTACGTACAGCACCGGAGGAGAACGAGGCGGCTCTCCGAGGTCAGTCAGCAGGTAGGTAAGCCAGCGAAGCTCCTGTGCAGCCATGGCCCCGGCGTAGATCTCAGCCTCACAACTGGAGCCGAGAACAGAAGACGAGCGAGTAGCCCGCCACAAAACAGAGCCGGAACCAAGGCTGAAGGTGTAACCCTGTGACAACCGCTGCGTAGCCTGGTCGTCTGCCCAAGAAGCGTCCGCGTGCCCAGTGAGGACCACTGGACTCCGCCCTCCAAGCACTAGCCCCATGCCCGACGTACTACACAAGTAGCGCAACACCCTCTTCGCTGCAGCCATGTGCTCTGGTCTGTGTCTCCCAGGAGCAACATAGCGTGCAAGAATGCTAAGAGGGTATGCAAGGTCAGGTCGTGTGCAGGTCATCAGGTACATGAGGCAGCCAACAAGCTCTGGGTACGGGCCACTCGACTCTACGGACTCATCCGAAGGCAGAGCTGAGAGCGAGTGGCGAGTAGACAGAGGAGTGGCCTGAGGCGAGGAGTACGTGAAGCCGAAGCGCTGAAGGACCTGCTGCACCATGTGTGACTGAGTCAGGGTAATGGTGCGGCGTGCTCTGTCCCGGGTGATCTGCAAGCCAAGGTAGCTGCGCAGTTCACCCAGGTCTGTGCACGTGTGTCTCTTCTGCAGCTCGGACTTCACGTGGGCGAGTCCAG